ACACACTACCGCCAACTTCTCTCAAATTATACCTACACCAACTCTATACCCTTATATTGTAGTGGATTCCTCCCCTACAAGCACCGAACCTTCTCGAATGCCCCAGCCTACGCCTCCAGCGCCGTCTATGGAGCGGGGGTCAACTATCAACCCACGCCTACCCCTGCCTTATAAGGCCTGACACCGCTGTGACCACCCTCTTTCTACCCAGTGCCACCAGCAAGCAACACCTCCTCTGCCAGCGACCTTGTGCATGTCCCTCCTCTGGGCACCCTCACCACCCAGCTCTCTCTACTCAACACTTGTTACCATGCTACCTACCCAGCAACAAGCTGCATTGTACATCCAATACAATATGTATACAGTGAGCACATTGTGAGTTTCCTTTCTCCATCCCATCCTGAGTGTGAACCAATATCTCATAACTCTACAATATCACACCAAGACCACCTGTTTTGCACCTGCACATGCTACGTTAATCTTATATTCAGTGTTGCCAACTCGGGTTTTCAAATGTCGCTAGGCTGGTACCTAAAAGTAGCTAAATGTCGCTAAATCTTCCATGGAAAGTCGCTAGCTATTATTCCCAAGTTTCTTGAATGGTAAAATTGTCTGTCTTTCTGCACTAAACGGCTCTTCTGCTTTCTTGTGTTTTTTAGTGTTTTTGTGTTTTTCAATGTCGCACAACTTAGCAGACAAAGTACACTTGCAAAATTTACAAAATCCTTTTTTATTATCTCCTGGCACCTCCAGAAGCCAATTTTTGTATCTGTCATCTCTGAGCCATTCCTTCCTAAATCGCTGCGAATACTGTGGCTTACCCATTTTCTATTGGGACTATGAAGGGTTCAAATTAATAAACAGGAAACTTTCCTTGATGGTTTTTGGCAAAGCGGGTGAACAGTGTCGACTTGCGGGGCAACTGTATGGAGTCTATGGGTCACCCATGGTGGACGCGTATGAGAAATTTGGAACCACGCAAGCTTGATAGAATTAATTCTATAAGATGTTTTGCTAATATTCTTTAAAATTTAGCGTATTAATGAAATTCATATTGCATATCTGACAAAAAGGTAAGTTACCCAGGTGCTACAAAGGCGAAGGTAATAGACAAATAAATGACGACACGGCAACATTAGCCATGGACGGGCTGACATCAAGTGTCAGGAAATAGACGTGTCCCTCCTTCTGTACCACGACCCGTTCAAATGTATTAAACTTTTCTTATTATTTATTGTCCCTGTAACCCCGTTGCTATATATTATGGCTCGAAATTAGGAAAACTGAGTTTTCATGGACAGTCCAAAAGTATCCAGAAAGTCGCTAGATTTCTGTGGATATCTCTAGATTTGCGACAAGTCGCAAATCGCTCTAAAATGTCGCTAGAAAAAACAAAAAGCTCTAGATCTAGCTACAAAGTCGCTAAGTTGGCAACTCTGCTTATATTTATTTAATTAGGTATATATTTAGAAGTTGCCAACACCTAATTCTATATTGAGTCATATAGGGAGAAAGAAAAAAGTATAAATAATTTATTCTAGTGTATTGTAGTGGAATTCTCCCCTACAAACGCTGTTTGTCGCTGCCTAGCCGACCCCACCAATTCCCCAGTGTATGCCTCGTGGTCTAGGTCAACCAGCGCCGCCATACACCACGGAGCGGGGGTCAACTGCTAAGCCACGCCTACCCCCGCTATTTAAGACCTGACCTCGTGGTGATCTCTCTCTTTCAACCTACACCAACCAGCCAGCAACACCTCCCTCCTCCGCCTGCCTGGCGGTCCTCTCTCCCGCTGGCGAGCATGGCGACCCACAAGCTGTCCTCCTCTGAGCGTCCTCACCAACCAGCTCTCTCTACATCACGCTTGTAACCATGCTGCCTTCCCAGCACCAAGCTGCATTGTACATCCAATACAACATGTATATAGAGAGCACATTGTGAGTTTCCTTTCTCCATTCCATCCTGAGTGTGAACCAAACATCTCATACCCCACAAATGGTGACTCCCGGAGATTCGCACTCACACAGGATGGAGGAGAAACTGATCACGCTCCCAGTCTTCAAGCAACATGGAAGACTGGCTTATCCACACAGAAGCAGCTCTCATCGGCTCTACAACTACTGTCTCTACACCGCAGGTTAGACACCCTAGAGCAGCTCTGCTACTCTAAGCAGACACCAGCTCCTCTTCCTGCCCCAAGCACCACGTCCTACCGACCCCAGCACACCCGTCCTGCCTCAGACGCCGACCCCGGCCCAGCAGTAACCCCTGCCGCCCCTGATGCGGCCTCTGTTCCTGAGTGCGGACCCACACACCCCTTTTCTCCCTCAGGTACTCCCTGCTAATGTCCTGCACCCTGCTGCTGTCGTGGACCCAGCTGCTGTCACGAGCCCTCATCCGCTGCTGCTGACACAGCCCCTGCTCCTGACCCAGGTCCACACACCCCAGCAGGCGCATCTGTCGACTCTGTACCTGCCGTGAGGGAAGCACAACATTCATCGCCTCCACACACCCTTATTCTCCCTCTCTACTCCCACAGATATTGTGTATCTAGACAGTTGTATCCAGCGACCGGCTCATCACGCCATCGCCGTTGTCTCACATGAGGCACGCACCGCCCGTTCTGCCTCACATGTGCTATGCAACTCTGCAGACAACAAGTCTCCTACACCGCCTGGAGGGAAGGGGGAGTATTGTAGTGGAATTCTCCCCTACAAACGCTGTTTGTCGCTGCCTAGCCGACCCCACCAATTCCCCAGTGTATGCCTCGTGGTCTAGGTCAACCAGCGCCGCCATACACCACGGAGCGGGGGTCAACTGCTAAGCCACGCCTACCCCCGCTATTTAAGACCTGACCTCGTGGTGATCTGTCTCTCTTTCTACCTACACCAACCAGCCAGCAACACCTCCCTCCTCCGCCTGCCTGGCGGTCCTCTCTCCCGCTGGCGAGCATGGCGACCCACAAGCTGTCCTTCTCTGAGCGTCCTCACCAACCAGCTCTCTCTACATCACGCTTGTAACCATGCTGCCTTCCCAGCACCAAGCTGCATTGTACATCCAATACAACATGTATATAGAGAGCACATTGTGAGTTTCCTTTCTCCATTCCATCCTGAGTGTGAACCAAACATCTCATACCCCACAAATGGTGACTCCCGGAGATTCGCACTCACACAGGATGGAGGAGAAACTGATCACGCTCCCAGTCTTCAAGCAACATGGAAGACTGGCTTATCCACACAGAAGCAGCTCTCATCGGCTCTACAACTACTGTCTCTACACCGCAGGTTAGACACCCTAGAGCAGCTCTGCTACTCTAAGCAGACACCAGCTCCTCTTCCTGCCCCAAGCACCACGTCCTACCGACCCCAGCACACCCGTCCTGCCTCAGACGCCGACCCCGGCCCAGCAGTAACCCCTGCCGCCCCTGATGCGGTCTCTGTTCCTGAGTGCGGACCCACACACCCCTCTTTTCTCCCTCAGGTACTCCCTGCTAATGTCCTGCACCCTGCTGCTGTCGTGGACCCAGCTGCTGTCACGAGCCCTCATCCGCTGCTGCTGACACAGCCCCTGCTCCTGACCCAGGTCCACACACCCCAGCAGGCGCATCTGTCGACTCTGTACCTGCCGTGAGGGAAGCACAACATTCATCGCCTCCACACACCCTTATTCTCCCTCTCTACTCCCACAGATATTGTGTATCTAGACAGTTGTATCCAGCGACCGGCTCATCACGCCATCGCCGTTGTCTCACATGAGGCACGCACCGCCCGTTCTGCCTCACATGTGCTAAGCAACTCTGCAGACAACAAGTCTCCTACACCGCCTGGAGGGAAGGGGGAGTATTGAAGTGGAATTCTCCCCTACAAACGCTGTTTGCCGACCCCACCAATTCCCCAGTGTATGCCTCGTGGTCTAGGTCAACCAGCGCCGCCATACACCACGGAGCGGGGGTCAACTGCTAAGCCACGCCTACCCCCGCTATTTAAGACCTGACCTCGTGGTGATCTCTCTCTTTCTACCTACACCAACCAGCCAGCAACACCTCCTCCTCCTCCGCCTGCCTGGCGGTCCTCTCTCCCGCTGGCGAGCATGGCGACCCACAAGCTGTCCTTCTCTGAGCGTCCTCACCAACCAGCTCTCTCTACATCACGCTTGTAACCATGCTGCCTTCCCAGCACCAAGCTGCATTGTACATCCAATACAACATGTATATAGAGAGCACATTGTGAGTTTCCTTTCTCCATTCCATCCTGAGTGTGAACCAAACAATCTCATACCCCACAGTATACTCTAGTCTTTCCGCCGGAGATTTATATTTTTTGGAGTATTTTAAACAATATAATTACCAACAATATTACTTGTTTAAAGTGAGTAGCGCTTTGAAGTAGAGGGAAAATGTGGGGTAAAATAATTAAAAAAAAAACACTAAACAAGCTTGTGAAAGAGAAATGATAAATGAAGGCCTGACCTAACGTTTCCTAACCTTTAAAAATCCGAAAACTATAAAAAGTTTACTTTAAACATGTTTTCGGTGCTTAGATGAGGAGAGATCCATAAACTTTGAAAGTGATTCCTTACATTTTTACTAGTTAGGAAACGTTAGGTTAGGTTAGGTTAGGTTTTCAAAAGTTTCTTAAGTGTACTTTTAGTATTTTACCCCACATTTAATTTCCCTCTATTTCAAAGCCCTGCCTACTTTGAAAACTAACATTGTGGGTAATTTTATCATTATTTATTTATGACTGTGATATAACTATCAATTTAAAATCATAATTATTCATAAGTCATGATAGTGGAGAGGAAGAGAAATGATTGTGAAGTAAAGTGGAACAGCAAGATATAGTTATGGTAGTAATAAAAAACTTAAATAACTTCTTTAAAAACATTTATTGAATATTATTAGACTTCAATAGGAATCTAGAGCATTAAAAATTATTTCAAGTTGCTTAAATGAATTCCTGTCCTAAAAAAAATAAAGGATATGTATAAAATTTCACAGGGACTGGAACCCTCCTTGTTTGTTTACATCAGTTACGCGGGAAGACTAGACCAGGTGCATAGAGAAGGTCCCCTGTAACTTAGGTAATATACATATGTGTTGTGTAACTTTTGTGATGTTTTACATTATATGATCATACGGTAATATAGTGTATTAAAGTCACCACTTATTGGTTTGGCGTGTTCAAGAACTGAGGTGAGCTTAGGTAGGTTTCTTTGGTTGGTTAGTTTTATAGGTGTTTGGTAATTATTGACGACTGGACTGCAGCCAATTTGGGTAAATGTTTACTAAAATGCTGCGAGCGATTTAGCCAGTAAATTCATTCTTTCCTGCATGAAATTTTCTGCTTTTTGGAATTTTTTTCTGGAAAAAAAATAAAAAATAATGTTTTCCTTATTTAACCGGTAAATTTATAGAAAAGCACCGTTCTTTGGATATTAGAAATATGGGTAAATTTTTACTTTAGGATATGAGTCCCTTAGGGGTTGACCAATATGTTTTTCCAGGGTATTTTGGTGTGTTTTAAACGAATCTGACCTTCAGTTTTGTCGGAAATTGCTCAATTTTGCCACCCCCCCTCCCCCCTCCACAACAATAATGTGGGAGAGCCTGAGAAATTGGGGTTTTTAGGTGGGGGAGAAAACGAAAACTAGTCATCTAACCTAACAAAACCTAACCCCTAGCTTAAACTAACCTAACCTAACCTAAATGTTTCAGTAGTTAAAAACTTTGGGGTGTGCCGTGTCAGAAGGCACAATACCTTAGTTAGAAGTGGAAGGACCAGGGATACATAAGAATTGGATGGAATGATTGTCTCGTAAAACTCGGCAATAAACTTAAAATATCGATGGAGCACGATTGACAACCAACCTCGACCACGGCCATTGTCAGACTGGTCATTGAATTCCAAATCCATACCCAGGCTTTCTTCCTTTGAAAAATTCAAATGTGATTGGTAAAAAAAAATCGCGAGATGATACCAATACATCATTGGTCACAACTGGATGACGTCAGTCAATATTGCGCATGCGTGATGTATAATCAACTCCGTTTCATGCCGATAACATATCCTCAGACGAAGACTGAAAAGTACTTACAATCAATTAAATTCAATTGTGTCACTATTTTTCATTTCCAAATGGTATGAATTAGGTTCAAAATGCTCAGAATGGGGAGATCTAAATGTTTCAGTAGTTTATAACTTTCGGGCGTGCTACAGTATGTCCTAAATTAAATAATACTCCCCCCCTCAACAAGGGAAGATGTTGAGAAATTTGATTTTTTTTTTTTTTTTTTTTAGGGTAAACCGCAGAAAAGGGTGACTTCCAATGGAGGACAAGGCAAAAATTTTTCAAAACTCCTCAAAAACCATAGGAAAAACATTTCTAATACTGAAAAAATGTAACCTAATTTAACCTACCTCTTTTTTCTGTGTAAAAAAACACAAAAAAAGCAACAACAAAAAACAACCAACCAACCCAACCTAACCTAACCAAACCAAACCACCCCTGGATTCTTCTTTGTTCATGTTGCCACATGTTACCTTAATCTGAAGAATCAGGCTAAATATGTTGTTCTTCATGCAGTGTACACTGATTATTACACTTTGGACAAGTAACATAGTTTGGTAGTACACTGTGTTTTCTAAAAAATGAAGTGGCCTCACTATTTCTTTGATGAAACTCAGTAATTGACGTAAAATAATCTCTATCACAATGTCCGAACAGCTCTTCAACCTGTACGGCTATCTCTGGTACTGAAAATTCACATCTCTGCTCCCGACACACCCATGCGTTGTTCATTTGCTAAGACAAAAAACTCTTGATGTGCAACACTCACAATGTCATTCACATCCTTTATTATGAACGTTTCACTCTACTAGCATCACTAGCACTGACACTAGGCAGTCTTTTAGGGGCCAATTTCACAAAGAAACTCAAAAGTTTTGAGGGTATGACACGGGATGTTAGGTGTATTCACTCCCAGTAAACACTACTCCTTGCACTGTCACTATGTTGAAATGAACTGTAGTTTGAGCTTTTCCCCATCTACTTATTATATGTCTTATTTGTGTCACTTATGTTACTTGTATATTATTTGTAATTCGTAACCCATTCCCCAAATATGTAACTGTATATTTTCAGCCTTCTGGCTGCCAAGCTCTTTCAATAAACCGTTAATTATTATTATTATTATTATTATTATTATTATTATTATTATTATTATTATTATTATTATTATTATTATTATAAGACGCCGCCAGCTGCTTATTGTGAATCGTCTAAATTGTGAATCCCACACCTGCGAATTACAAGGGTCTGCCGTACTTACTAATGATAAGACCGTCTGGAAAAAATTAACAAATTCAAACAACTCCTTCTGAAGGTAGTGCTGTTCTCAGAAATTACCTTTTATTTTAATTACTCTCTCTCTCTCTCTCTCTCTCTCTCTCTCTCTCTCTCTCTCTCTCTCTCTCTCTCTCTCTCTCTCTCTCTCTCTCTCTCTCTCTCTCTCTCTCTCTCTCTCTCTCTCTCTCTCTCTCTCTCTCTCTCTCTCTCTCTCTCTCTCTCTCTCTCTCTCTCTCTCTCTCTCTCTCTCTCTCTCTCTCTCTCTCTCTCTCTCTCTCTCTCTCTCTCTCTCTCTCTCTCTCTCTCTCTCTCTCTCTCTCTCTCTCTCTCTCTCTCTCTCTCTCTCTCTCTCTCTCTCTCTCTCTCTCTCTCTCTCTCTCTCTCTCTCTCTCCTCTCTCTCTCTCTCTCTCTCTCTCTCTCTCTCTCTCTCTCTCTCTCTCTCTCTCTCTCTCTCTCTCTCTCCTCTCTCTCTCTCTCTCTCTCTCTCTCTCTCTCTCTCTCTCTCTCTCTCTCTCTCTCTCTCTCTCTCTCTCTCTCTCTCTCTCTCTTTCCTCCTCTCTCTCTCTCTCTCTCTCTCTCTCTCTCTCTCTCTCTCTCTCTCTCTCTCTCTCTCTCTCTCTCTCTCTCTCTCTCTCTCTCTCTCTCTCTCTCTCTCTCTCTCTCTCTCTCTCTCTCTCTCTCTCTCTCCTCTCTCTCTCTCTCTCTCTCTCTCTCTCTCTCCTCTCTCTCTCTCTCTCTCTCTCTCTCTCTCTCTCGCTCTCTCTCTCTCTCTCTCTCTCTCTCTCTCTCATATAAATCACCTGTAGTGGACAGGGCATGATGGATGAGAAACATTGTGGGGTAAAATGCATTGAAAAACTGATCATATAATACTAAAATCATTTCTATGTGCTTTTACGTGAAAAATTTAATAATTTAAAAAAAAATACTCCAAAAATCTGTCAAGTCAGTGTGTTGTCGTCTGCATTTTGTTTACATCTGACGCGCTCAATCAGAGGGTACTCTCGTGTCCACAAAAAGCTTAAAATTACACCATGACGCTTTTAACAAAGTTGCTTGCATTGGTACCAGATATCAAAATAAGTACCAGTACTTTCTGTTTCATATGGTCAGGGACAGTCCGACTAATTACCCAAATGTAGCCGCATTGAAGTCAAATAGTGGTCCTACATGAATAAATAGGACTGCCAATCACTTTTCGACTAGTATTTGGTGTCACAAAGTCACAACAAATTGGCTAGGTTAATAGATCACGTGCATGTACCGAGGGAGCGAGTAATTACCCAAATGTAGTCGCAATGAAGTCAAATGATGGTCCTACAAGCGTAAATCGGGCTGTGAATCACTTCTCGATTATTATTTGGTGTCATAAAGTCACAGAAAATTGGTAAACTTAATTTAATCTGAGCTGTGTTAGGTTAGGTTAGGTACATGCACTCCATCTATTAACTCAGATTAAATTAAGTTTACCCATTTTTTGTGACTGTGCCACCAAATACCAGTCGAGAAGTGATTGGCAGTCCGATTTTTTCTTGTAGGACCATCATTTGACTTCATTGCAGCTACATTTGGGTACATTTGGGTAATTACTCGCTCCCTCGGTACATGCACGCGATCTATTAACTCAGATTAAATTACGTTTTCCAATTTTTGGTGACTTTGTGACACCAAATACAAGTCGAGAAGTGATTGGCAGTCCGATTTATTCATGTAGGACCATTATTTAACTTCATTGCGGCTACATTTGGGTACATTTGGGTAATTAGTCGGACCCGGTCAGGGATCCAGGGGGCATAGCCCGCCAGCTAGGAAGTTAGTTAAGGTTAGGTAGGTTTCTTTGGTTGGTTAGGTCAGATTCTATTCGCAAGTGGCCTTACTCTGCGCACCATATAAAGTAGTCCGTGCTGGGTGACAACTTTTGGGCGACGTTATAACAAATCGGGCAGGTCATGAAACAACTTTGTCTGAATTATGGGTATCTAAAGAGTAGCAACATTACCACAAAACATTATTGTGTGGGACAACGTTAAGTGAGGACTTACTATACTCTACTGGAAAATATTTCTCCATACCAGAAAATGACAGTGGTTTCTGGAAAAATAACAAAACACATTCACAATTCAGATTGTCAAAGTTCTGTTATTGAGATATATTACTGTGTACTGTATGTACCTGTACTGTACTGTGGCTCAGCTATACCAATATCTTTATCCTTTTTGTGGCAATTGTTGCACTTAGATTTTATTCAGCTTTGGGAAACCTCCAGGAGACAAAGGGTTAAAACCTATCTCAATTGATGGAAGATGTTATTGATTATGAGAAAAGAGAGAGATTTATTTCCTATATAGACAGTTTCAGCTTTATTATTTAATTTGTACAATAAGTATGTCATTATTGATGTCATAATAAATGGTAAAGGTGTTCAAGGTATTAGTTTTGATTATTTACTTTTCAGAATTGATCAGTGGCCATGCACGCTTTCCTCAAAACTGGCAAGCTTGGTGTAGGGTCAAGTTTAGCAGGACCCAGCAAGGAGAAGGGGCCCAAGAAGAAGGCACCTACACCATGGGTTGAAAAATAGTATGTTGGTGATGAAGTGCATGATCACATAATTATATTTCAAAGAAATAGTATGTGAATGATAAAGTTACCACCACATTCACTTGTTGTCAGAAGTTGCACAGGTTTCTGGCACATAAAGGGCTTCATAGAACCCTATACATACATTATTTCATCTAAAATCATTTGGGTCCAACGTGTTTCCAATGTGATTGAATAGAAGGGTGACCAAACCACGTATCACATAGAAAGGCCATCTCTTGTATACTCAAATCACCCTTAACGTACGAGACAGCTCATAGAGAGCCTTGACAGTGGAACTTGGATAATGACACTAAATTTGTGACTCATCAAATGTTGAGGCTGTTGGCTTTGACCTTGAGACTAACCAAACTTGAACAAGGAAAAGTTTCACCATCTGGATATCATGCTCACTGATGGCAGGTGACTCTAAAGTTAGCTATAAATAAGCCAAAGGGTTGCACCACTTTTTACTGATTTATACCTACTTTACTAAGAGCATGGTTGTAATGTATGCTTCAACAAACATCTGAGAGAGAGCAGCACAGGATGTGTAATGGTATGAACTGCCACTTTTCATCCACTCCATACTTCTTCAAACCCTTGTTTATAAGGTAGTGAGGGTAGTTCAGCAGGAAAGTGACATTTATCGGTGTCGTTTGATACCGCTGAGACATGCCCACATCCCTTCTCAACAGCCTAGTTGATGTATGGAATGAGGAGAGAGAGATAAAATGGTTATTTGATAAACATAACATGATTATGTATGGTACATAATGCACAAGTTGACATAAATGTTGATAGGAGGTTGCATAAAAACCACCACAGTAACACAAATCAAAAAGTAAATTTCTCCACCAAATAATAATTGCATGAAGAGTAGGTTGCTGAGTACATGAATTACAATATTCCATGATACAGTTTCAAGTTACAAGTGAATTGCATTATGTTGGGACATAATATATGGAATACACAAGTTCATGAGTCTGGTACCTTAGCAGAAGGTTTGAAAGCGATCTGAATCCTGTGTTACCCTAGCACTAACCTCCTACCGTGGCAGCAGATTACAATGTCATCGCTCTGCCAGTAGTAGTAGGTGTGTGTAGACACACACACAAACACATACAAATAAATAATAATGGGAAAATACTCTCACAAATAATCAAAAACAAATTTATTAAAAATGTGACAGTCTACCCTCAAGTCCATGCTTTATATATATATATATATATATATATATATATATATATATATATATATATATATATATATATATATATATATATATATATATATATATATATATATATATATATATACACACACACACACCTAGACCCCGACTTACGACGGGGTTAGGGACCCAAATCCAGGTCGTAAGTCGACATAGAAAAATTATTATTATTTTTTTTTTTAATAAAAAATCTACAATGAAATACAGTACAGTAAAAGTAATGAATAATGATGAATGGATACAGTACAGTGAAAGTAATAAATAATAAGGAATGGATACAGTGTGACTGAGCACTTAACCTTTAATGTAGTCAGCTGAATGCACATGGGGCCCCCATAATTTTCTAATTATACATGGAGACTACATTAACTGGAAACGTTTCGGTATAGAAAATGCGTGTGTCATTTAAATTTTTTTTTTTTTTTTTTATCTATATCTGAGGCGGTCGTAAGTCCCGACGGTCGTAAGTCCACGTAGTCGTAAGTCGGGGTCTAGGTGTATATATACGTACACAGTGGTCCCTCGGTTAACGAGTTACCTTCCATAAGATTCTTAACTTCAGTTAACGAGCAATCCCTCAATTAACGATTTTCTTACGAGCTTACCTCAACATGTTTTCACTTGCATTTGGCGGTCCACCAGCTGTAGTATTAGTCTGCCAATACAGTAATCGGTTCTAGGGCTTATATTCCTTACCATTTTAGTAAATATCAAGACGTTTATACTATTCAAGAATTTTAAAAGTTTAATATTAAATTTTTTAGTCATTTTAACAATTATTGAACATAATTGAAGGTAAGGAAACTAGTTTTATGCGTGCCATCCAGCCTGGCAACACACGAAACAGGCGCCAGTCTCTCTGTCTTTTCAGTGGAGGTAACATCTTGCTTGAGACTCTCTTCAACTAAATGTTTTTTTTCTGTGTTTGCAAGCAAATTATTGGTCATTTTGAAATTTATTTTACATATTGACAATATATACGGTAATGCAGTGCAGTGTTGATTTAAAGAAAATAATTTAGAATTACACCAAGAGAACTAAAATTTTATGGGATTAGCCCATTGGGGCCTGGGGGCGAAAATGTAATAGTAATAATAATTATTCATAGTAAATAAAAAATTTAATACAAAATACACCCAAATAAAATAATAATGATAACAATAATAATAATAATAAAATTAATAATAATAACAATAATACTGTATGAAGAAAATAATAATAATTAAGAAATACAAGAATTAAAAAAAGATAAAAATTTAGAAACACGACCTAGACCTAAGAATTATTATTATTTTTATTATTATTATTATTATTATTATTATTATTATTATAATTATTATATAATTATTATATAATTATAATTATTATAATTATATTTTCGCCCCCCAGGCCCAAATGTGGGTCAGTGACTTGTGCCCAGGTGGGCTAATACACACATAAAAAAAAAACTAACCATTCTGTAAACCGAAAAATTCCGAATTCCGAAATGCCTCTGGCCCCAAGGATTTCGGGTAAGGGATTGTCAACATATATATATATATATATATATATATATATATATATATATATATATATATATATATATATATATATATATATATATATATATATATATATATATATATATATATATATATATATATATATATCTGATAACACAAGGAAAAGAGAAAACACGAAGAAAACACTCACCCTGAAGATGTGAATTACATGAAGCTTTGGGAACTTCTGTGGTTTCTTTCCTTGGTTATCAGCATATACCTAGATCAAGCACTACAGTGATTTACTTGCATATATATATATATATATATATATATATATATATATATATATATATATATATATATATATATATATATATATATATACATACATATACATATACACACCTAGACCCCGACTTACGACGGGGTTAGGGACCCAAATCCAGGTCGTAAGTCCGACATAGATAAAAAAAAAAATTAATAGAAAATCTACAATGAAATACAGTACAGTAAAAGTAATGAATAATGATGAATGGATACAGTACAGTGAAAGTAATAAATAATAAGGAATGGATACAGTGTGACTGAGCACTTAACCTTTAATGTAGTCAGCTGAATGCACATGGGGCCCCCATAATTTTCTAATTATACATGGAGACTACATTAACTGGAAACGTTTCGGTATAGAAAATGCGTGTCATTTTTTTTATCTATATCTGAGGCGGTCGTAGTCCCGACGGTCGTAAGTCCACGTAGTCGTAAGTCGGGGTCTAGGTGTGTATATATATATATATATATATATATATATATATATATATATATATATATATATATATATATATATATATATATATACATACATACATACATACATACATACATACATATATATTGGCTAAAACTGTTTTAGCTCCATATCTTGCCATAAAGGACAATTTCACTTGATCAATATTTATTTTTTTCAGTCGGCCAAAAACTGTGGAAGATGTTGCTTACCAGGATGAGGTGGTGGCTGTTCTGAAGAGCACCATAAAGGGTGCTGATGTAAGTTCTCTAAGCCATTTACTGTTCTTCCAACAAAAGGACCTTCACTCCAGTTTTTCCCTGATACAGTAGTATTTCATATTTTTACTGATGTTAGGGCATTTATTTAATAGTAGTTTAGAAGTATACCTGTCCAGATTTAGGGTAAGCCTGTAACCATTGTCTTAGGTGCAGTTCTCATTAGATATTTGATATTTGTCAGATATTTGAACTTGACATTTTTGTAAATAGTTTTTATCTGGTGGACATTTTCTGAAAAGGATGTTTCTTTATAGTCAGTTGAATTCTAACAGATACTTATACCTTCCCACACAATAATGCTGGGCATTACCTTATATGGAGTGTATCACGTGTAGCATTGTGATTGATCCTTAACATTGAGCAACATGAACATATTACCGGGTATGCACACACACCCAGTGGTGTATTCTCAACGACAACAAGAAATGCATTGCATGCCTAGTAAAAAGCTTTCTTTTTCTTAGAAAGTGTATTCATTATTACAGATTTTATTTTAAAGTCTTCATAGTTATTACTTAGGAGAGTCAAGGAGACTCGGCATCCCTCAGTGCATGATACATGAATGTTTTTCAATTTTTCAGTTACCAAACTTGTTGTTTTATGGACCACCGGGCACAGGTAAAACTTCAACTATATTGGCTGCCGCAAGACAGCTGTTTGGGGACCTTTTTCATCAGAGGTGAGTTAGTTGAAGTTGAGGCTTAGTAGTTATTAACTTCAAACTGTGCTGTACTTAAAAATTTATTTAATTCGTGTGAATAACTTGTCCTATAAAACTGAATTGTTAGTGATCTCTGATCAGTGATGGGAGTGAAACATCAATGATTATTAGCTCACATGAATGAAGTGCAGAGGAACCAGTAGAGTATCATTGGTGTTGCAGTAGTTGGCACTGTTATCGACATCAACAACTCCCTTATATACTGTATAAGGTAATTTTTCAGCAATATGGATACCCAATAGGTTGTACCTTATCATCTAGTAATCATATAGTATAAGTAAATTCTTTGTAAACTAGGTTGTTGACATAATTTGGGGGGAAATAAAGATTATGTTAAGTTTTATGTCAAATTTGGTTCTTTCCCAGTGCAACATGCTGCAATCTCTAGGCTTCCCTGTGCATGATCAGCCAATAAAATGTACCAGTAGTTACAGTTCTGAAAACTAGGCCACTGTGACTGTTTTGGGGAGATATTGATTACTAAATTTAATGTTTTACAAACTCAACATCCATGCAACATACTGCTATCACTAGACTTATTGGGCATGGTCATCTAATGTCACATTGTCACTATGTCTGAAAAAGTAGTTCACTGTCACCTGCTTATGAACATGCTACAGACTTTATTTGTAGAATCATAAATAAATGGTTTGCATAGGGTAATTTTATGTGATATGAGCTTTATTGCATCCATTTTTTAAGAAACCTGGTCTTGATACTGAAAATGTCACATTCTCGTTCGGTTTTCAATCTCTCTTCTTATCAAAGATCATAGAGCGTGCTATGCTGGATCGGTTACTTCCTCTGTTAGAGAGAAATGGAGTGATCCCTCTGGCCCAGTCAACCTATAGGAAGCATCATTCAACTGAAACTGCATTATATATAATTCATAATGATTTGGTAATAAACACTTGCACAGGAAAATCCTCCCTCCTGGACTTGTTGGATCTCTTTGCAGCCTTTGGATACAGTGGATCATCATTTGTTACCTCAGTATCTTTGGTCGACCGGTGTCCACGATGATGAACTGCTCGAGTCTTATTTGTCAATTTGTCAAAGCGATTACAAAGTGTGATGGTTGGTGGAACCATTTCAGATCCAGTCCCTTTGCAGTTTGGAGTCCCACAGGGATCAGTTTTAGGACTACTTCTGTTTACAGTTTATACCAGTATTCTTGCATCTCTGCTTAATGTTCATGGTGTTTCCTACATTTTCAATGCCAATGATTCACAGCTTTATGTGAAAATATAAATGTCAAAGATATTGAGGAGATATTGAAGTCCTTGAAGTCTGATATTAAGATCTGGATGGTTAGGAGAAAACTTAAGCTGAATGACAGCAAAACTGAGATGATTATCATCCGAGGAAATAGGAATGGTGACAGCACAGATGATTTTAGCTCTTTTAAACTTTGGGGAAGTACAACTCAGTCCTGTTGATTCTGTTCGTAATCTTGAAGTGTACTTTGACTCAAAACTGAATTTTAAAGATAAATTCACTGGTTAAGAGTTACAACTTTCATATTCAAAATCTATATTATATGAAACAGTTTTTAGATAAGCAGTGTCTTATGGCACTTTTATGTTCACTTTCTTTTTTTTGTCTCTGGTTGACTATTGTAACTTTATGGGTCTGCTTACCTAATTATCTACTGAAGAAAGTTCAGACAGTGTTGAATAGGGTTGCCAAACTCATTTTTGCTCTCCCACTGAGGACTCCCACTGCCACACGTTGCGAAATGGTTTTGCGTAGTGATGATCCCTCCTTTTCCTATACAGCACACAGCTTGTACAATCGGTTGCCTGCATCCTTGAAGCAGTTAACTTCTGTGGAGGCCTTTAAGAAGACCTAAGACCTATCTTTTTTTTTTTTTTTTTTTTTTTCCTGAAGAGGGTATGGTGAAGGAGAATTACAGGATTTAGGAAGTATTAAAATTAAGGGTATTTGAATGATTGTAGTTAAACTGTCACTTTGTGATTTACGGTAACTTTTTGCAGTATTTCTTTTTATTCTCAGGTCCTCCATTTTGTAGTGTTTCAAGCACTAGTGAATTCTTTAGAAGAACTGGCACTTTTGAGAAACAAAAGAGCAGCTGCTATTTTATATATATATATATATATATATATATATATATATATATATATATATATATATATATATATATATATATATATATATATATATATATATATATATATATATATATATATATATATATATATATTTTTTTTTAAACAAGACAATTTAGTTAATACTCTATAATCACAAGCAAGAAATGTGCAACATTTTGCTATACCATGGAAAAGCAAAGAAAACTACATGTACAGTACAGGTTTATAAAAATAAAGAAAATTAATTTTTAATTTCATTTTTCAGAGTTTTGGAACTAAATGCATCTGATGAGCGAGGAATTCAAGTTGTGAGGGAGAAGGTAAAAAATTTTGCTCAGACAACAGTGTCCAGCACCCGGCCAGAGTAAGTAAATAGGTAATTTCATCCTGAGAGTTGCCAGTTATCTGGGTAAAAAGCATTTTCTTTGTGGAATACCTGTAATGTTTTACCTGAAAAACTGAAAACAATTTTAAACACTGAAAGTTTAATAAATGGCTGAGTGACTTTTGGTATGTCATGTCACAACTCATCTAACGATCAAAGAATTTTTATGAATTGAAATAATTGTTAAGGATGAGTTAAATGGTTGGAATTTTGTCAATTGGTCATTTCAATAGAATGTTGGTGTATGTAAATTTAATTTGATTTTCTAGTTATGTGATAATTTTGTTTCTAAAATTGGTTCATTTATCTGGGGGTTGTTTAAATGGGATCAAGTCCTAATATAGTTTAACTAATGGGTCTCAGTCCTAACAACTAGGTTGGGTCTATTAATATCAGGGTTCATTTGACCTGTGATCTTAACTGTACAGATGATTGATATAAATATTTCTTCCTTTCTTACATCCTTTATGATATTTTATCTATTGATATACATTTTTTTAATGTCTAGAACCAGTCAGTATACAGTATATGTGTCTTGCTAATGTTTCTTAAGCTTGGGTTCATATGCATCACTTTTTTTTAATATATGTGATTTATTATTAAAATATGTTTTTATTGACTACTTGTTCCAGTGGTAAGCCATGTATTCCATACAAAATCATTATTTTGGATGAGGCTGATTCAATGACCAATGCTGCCCAAGCTGCCCTCAGACGTACTATGGAAAAACAGTCCAGAACGACCCGTTTCTGTTTGATTTGCAACTATGTCTCTCGCATTATTGAGCCTCTCACGTCAAGATGCTCCAAGTTTCGCTTTAAACCCCTTGGTAACTATTTGCTTTTTCTTTTAGTGTTTTAATATGAAAGTTGTCTACTAGAAAAAATATGGCAGTGGCATGAATGCAAAAGACTGATATAGGTGAATTACCATAAATTCAGTGTATATATATATATATATATATATATATATATATATATATATATATATATATATATATATATATATATATATATATATATATATATATATATATATATATATATATATATATATATATATATATACATACATACATATATACATATATATATACATATATATATACATACATATATATACAGTACATATATATACTGTACGTATATTAAAGAAAAGTGCTTAGAGGATATTAGTGTTCTTAATGCTTTCTTAAAATGTAAAATGTGTTTGTGGTATGGTATTGTTTTGTAAACTGTCAACCACCATGCTATATCTAGCTGTCTTTAAGATGCACCAACTGACCACAAGGTTAATAGCTGACAATGTGAGTTCGCTAGTTATAGTAAACAAAAAGACATCTGTTATTGGGAATATCCAGAATTGAGAAGTTCGATATTGAGAGGGTTTACTGTATTCTTACCAACATTTGGTAAGGAAGAAAAACAATGTGTGATATATAAGACATATGGGTACTTGGATGATTCACTGTTGAACATTTATTTATACAGCTCAAGATATCATGGTGAAGCGATTGTCTTACATCTGTGAGGAAGAAAATGTGAAGTATGAAGATGGTGTATTACAGGACCTCATTGAAACAAGTGAGGGAGATCTGCGAAGAGCTATTACTACACTGCAGTCAGCGGCTCGACTTAGAGATGGTGAAGAAATCAGCCAACACGATGTATATGAGATTACTGGTAAATAGAAATTTGGGTGTTTACAAAAAGTTCTTAAGGATATGTTGTACTGTATTGTATTTCCAAGTTGAATGTTTAGTAACCTCTGCCAATTACCTTATGTTAATGTGTGTACATACATCAGATTACTATAGGAAAAATTACTTGTGTTTCTTTAACATAGTGTTGTTGAACCGGAGTCTTATAATTCAAAGCTTTTTGAAATTCTGCATTCCATTAACACATGAAAGGAAGAGAAAGGGTACAGTAAAACCTCGATAAATTGGACTTCAATATATCGAAGTTCGCTTTTTTCGGACTCTTAGTTGCTTGTCACCAGAAACACTAAAAAAGAAAAAAGTGGGGAAGATTAATCAAAAAAATCTTATGAAATGAACCACACTTAATGAATACTGTACAGTGGTCTAATCTGATTTGCTATAGGTCTACTGAGAACTGAGACACTTGTAATATAGTATTGAGAAAGTAATAAGCAATTTTTATTTTATTACATAAAGTTTTAAATGATATAACAAAGGAATGTTAGGTAGGTAAATTATTACCTTATCTCACCAACCCTTTAGGTTGAACTACATCATTGTTACTAAACACCTGAAAATGTCCTCTAACTCACCTTATTGGTTAAACTAAATTATTGTTGCTAAATACTTAACACACTACAAAAACAGATGTTAAAAGTACAATTACTATCAATCATTTATCAACACTAATACAAATACTTTAAACAAAGGCACAGAAACACCTTTATACAATGAATCACATTGGCTTTATCAGCAGCGGCATATACATTACAGTAATAATAATTTGGAATTTCCACTATTTAAACAAAGGAAGAGCCCTTGTTACACAGAATTATGGAAGTTTTACTGTATAGAAGACTTTTCACCTGTTTTACATTGTTCTTAATACTGTACTTTCTCTTAATTCCTCTGTAATTATTACTTTCATTACATTTTGTGGCACATTATCTCTGACGAACTTGTCTCACATAAAATCCTTGTGAAGTTAGTCTATTAGTAACTGAAGGACAGTATTGAGGTAGTGCGGGCCAGGGAAATACAGTCAGTCCCCGACTTACGACGAGGTTAGGGACCCAAATCCAGGTCGTAAGTCGAAAATGCAAAATATAATACATAGAAAATTTTAAATGAAATACAGTACAGTAAAAGTAATCAATATTGAAAAATTAATAAAGTGTTACTGAGCACTTACCTTTAATGTAGTCAGCTGAATGTACACGGGGCTACATTAATTGGATGAAGCAGAGGAGGAGACGGGGCTGGGTGGGTCATCAATGTTGCTTTCTTCAGACAGGCTAGCATACTTGCTTGTTGAAGGTATTGGATCATCTTTAGAGAGTGAAGAGGCAGCACTGGTGGGGTATGAGGAGACAGCAGTGGGGGACTTCTTAAAATATATGTCCAATTTAGACTGCACAGTTTGCCTTTTCTTTTCATTGTAAATCTCCCTGTAGCAAGCAAGTACATCTTGGATCATTCTGTCAACTTTTGCAAAACGCTCAACATTTTGATCCATTTCGTCAAACATTTGCATCCCCTTATTAATAGTAACAAATCCCTCTGCCATTTGTTTCTTCTGAGCACCACCAGAACTCTCACTTTTACTCTTGCCAGTCATTTTAAAGGGAATTAGAACTGAAAATATTGTCAGTACACACTGCATTAACTACCGACAACAACGAAGGCCAAACACCAACTGAGCACGCTATGGCGTGGACGCTGTACACCACAAGGTGGCCCAGCCCACTCCATGCTCTCGTACTGGACGGAAACGTTTCGGTACTGGAAAATACGTACGTAATTTGAAAAAAATTTGGCACGACTGCGGCGATCGTACAGTATGTCCGGGTGGTCGTATGTCAAGTAGGTTGTAAGTCGAGGAGTACCTGTATTTCGAATTTTACATTTAATAATTTTGTTCATCTTGCAGGTGTTGTTCCAGTGAAGTGGCTAGATGAACTGTTTGAAGTCTGCATGAGCAATTCCTACGAAAAACTGAGTGAGTTTTTAACTACCATGATGGCAGAAGGTTACTCAGCAAGCCAGGTAAGAGATGCTGTATATGTGTCATAAGCCGAATGGGGGTGGGTGAGCATCATGCTGATGTTACTCGTAGCAACCAAGGCAACTCGTTCAAGGGGGATTTCACTGGAGAAGATGGAGAGCCGGTTAGACTCAAACAGTTTTTATAACTGACCAGACTGATGCCAGCTAGCCCACTTGCCACCATCTTAACATTGGCAAAACAGTCACTGCTAGCCACCACTACCAAAGCACCAGGAAGCTTAAATGTTCCTGACATGCACTGATAAGTGGTCAGTGATAAACAAGAATCAACTGTGGTTCTATTTATTAATAAAATTTATTGTTATATAATTGATATACTAAACATTTAATTCAATTAAATACATGCAGTAAATCCTTAAAATCAACATAAGGATATAAATAATTTTCACCCTGATGCAATGGAACATCTGAGGGCTAAAGACTAATTGGGAGCCTCTTGCCCTTTTACTGTCTCACCTCTTGCCAGTTTGTGTGTGTTTGTAGGAGATGATGGTTGCTGAAGGCCATTATCCTTCTCCTCATGGTTATCAAGCCGTATAATCGAACCCAATAGGAGATGGTGGTCATCATGGAGGCAGCGCCATTTTTGTCTCCACCTCCATGAATATTCCATGTACCACTATGCAACTGTGTTCCCCCTTACAGGCAGTGACTGTTTGCCTCCATTTAAGAAGGATGTACACTGTCTGTTCACTATATTTCCCTCCTAGTACACCAGTGTCCAGGACAAACTTAATCAACCAAATTGGGGATCTTCCTCCTCCATTCTTAATTTTGGGAGATCTGAGTAGGAGTTAGATTGTGGGGAGAAAATGTGACCAATCCATGAGGAGCCATATTGGAGTCTGTGGTACAGGGTCTGGATCTCCATATCAAGAATACTGGTGCCCCAACCCATTTCCATATGCAGACAAGAACCCACTCTGTCATAGACCTCTCCTTGTGTTCTGCAGCAGCGGGCATGGATTTTTTGTGGGAAATCTGGGTTAATCCATGTGGGAGTGATCACTTTCCAGTCATCCTTCGCACACCGGATGTGATTGGCCCTAACTGTCTCTTGCTGGTATTTGGACAGGACTGACTGGGTCTGTTTTAACCTTCTAGCTGAGGTAGAAAGAGAGGTGGATGAATTCCAGATTACGGAAGAAGCAGTGGAGTACTTTACCTCAACATCCCTTAGTGCTGGTGAACAAACCATCCCCAAGACTTTTTTTTTTAAAGGCAGCCAGTCCTATTGTGGTCTAAAGAATGCAGAGTGGCCATAGCGGCCAAAAGGAGAGCCTCATGTCAATACAGGCGGCATCCTTGTCAATATTATCTTCTGGAATTCAAGCGGGAAAGGGCTCATACTTGTAAAATATTAAAGGGGCACTTCTACCTGAGTAACATATTGCCAATTTAACAATACTTTTACTTAAGTAACAAATTCCAGTACATTTTACAACTCTGTTTACTTATCACTGCTTCCTCAGAGGCAGCTGCTGAATTACCTTCTTGTGCCAACACAATGGAAGTCCCCGTTTACGCAAACTCTCCCCTGTGCTAGCTGGATTTCTGTTTTGCTTTTCCATGTTGGGGATATATACGAGCATGTTCGGTGCTGGATCCCAGTTTGGTTTGCAGAGGGATCCAGATTAAGCGAGTCCGGGTTAGAGTGAGTTTTGTGTACTGTATATGTACAGTAATATTTGCATAAATAATTACCACCCTGTGGCTGTCCGACTGCAACTAAGCTTCTATAGCAATGGTTCTCTGTGCCAGTTGTGTAGTTTAGAAGCGGAACATTCACCAATGCTCAAAAATTCCGTAGATGTGGAATTTATTCTGAAGATGAGAGGACTCTTCTCAATAACCGGAAATCTCTCAAACCCAAAGACGTTCTGAACCAATCATTCTTGCTAATGGAGAAATTACTGTACTTTTACTCAAGTAACTTCAGTACCTCATTCACCACTGCTTTGAAGAGTCACTTAATCATTGGAACGAGGATGTATACAATTTATGATGTAGAATTGCTAGTTTTCTTGTACATTATATGGAATATGTTTACTCTGATGATTTACTTTTTATTACAGATAATGAATCAGATACATGATCACATTATTGTAAATGACCTGCTAAGTGACCTTCAGAAAGCTGCCATCTGTGAGAGACTAGCTGTAAGTAGATTTCTTTGTTTTGTGGTACTGTACAGTCTGGATAAACATAGTACTATTACTTTTTACAACTACAGTATATGATTTCTTGTTCTGTCATACTTTTCATCATATTACTGTGCATGGATCAGTACCTTTAATTCCACATTCCACAAATATCATACAGTCACATACACTAAACTCTTTATTTGTCTTTTACTTTAATCTGGTATAGAGCCGATTCACTTTCCTACCAACCTGCTTGTGATAAAAGGAAAATGTAATGCTCATCTGCCAGTTCTCAACAAAGTCCCATGATTTCATGTAGATTCTGTTTGTAGATGAATGATTTTAATGTACCAAGATGGATTTCTTTTGACTTTTCGGATGACTCATGCTTTATGTAGCTTTATTAAAATTGGTTTATTAAAATTTGCAGTTCCTTAAACAAATAAACAAAAGCTATATTTTCTAAACTTTTGTAGTGGCCATGTACTTTATCTCTAGATTATTTTAGTTTATCATTTTCACAGGTATGTGACCACCGACTCATGGATGGTGGTGATGAGTATGTGCAGGTGCTGGACCTCTCCTGCATTGTCATGAAGCAGCTGTGTCACTCTACTTGAAACAACTTGTTTTGAGGACTTTTTTTGTGGAGCTGTTGTTCACAGTGTAGATAATATTCCTTGATGCATCTTTTTGTTGTTTTTTTCTCTTATTGGAGCCTCAACATTTGCAAGGTATAATAGGTTCCTGGAGCGCTCGCGAATGTTAAATTTGCGAATAACATTCTTTAATTCCCTACTTTTAATATCATACCTTAAATTTAGGACTGAAGTCTAAAAAAAATCTTAAATAGAGCAAAAAACTTTACTAAGCCCTCTAAATATTACACAGGTACATACAGTTACTTTATACAGTCCAAACCCCAAGCACAGGTCTAATACCATGATTAATTATTGAAGCAGTAATAATTATTGTTAATAGTGTAAATAGTAAGTTTTGTGTATACCGGCCCTGGTGTACAATATTATAATACTGAAGACATTACTCACTTACTCTGCATTGTGGTACATAATAGTTATTTAAATTACATTGTTAAGAAAGTACCAGTGCTAATTAGTAGGAAGCCTTTAAAATAAAGATGAAATTCCCTTTTGTTTTAAAGACCTATCTTGACCACTAGAGTGCAAGGGAACTACTTTCCAGTTTGACCACATGGCCTAAGTAGTCCTCGCATGATTTATAGTTTGTTTTTGTTTTTTAATACTTATTCAACTAAATTATCTTTATGCTCAAATGTTTCTGCCCCAGACAAGTCAAGTCTAACCACTAATAAAAATAATATGTGTTTGATAGTAACTTAACAGTAAGATTTGCTAAGGTACTTACTGGAGAAATGGCATTCACGTGCATCAGTTGTGTTCTTGTTCACAAGTCCATAATGGCTTGTTAAGAGTGAGTGTGCTGAAGACCATGCCTGATGATTATGGATGAGGACAGGCAACTCAGGCAAGCATGGGAATTGACTACAGGGAATCTCAACTTAAGAACAAGAGAAGTACTTCAATTGTGTTGTGTTAATATAATAATGGAGTTTTATCACTAAAATGCCACTTAAACCCCCAACACAAGCACTTCCATACACCTGCTGTTCCGCACAACTAAACTGGTTTTCGTTGATGTCTTACTGAGACAACAGGTATGCATCACTGAACTAAACATCCCATAAGTAACACATCAAGTTAAATCATGTAACAAAAACAATAGGGATTTAGTAACTGTAAACATAAAAAATATTTTCGTTAATATAAATAACCAGACAATATTAATATTACACTTGTAATGATTGTTTATCAGACCATAGCTTACAGCCCAGAGAAGAACAGCATATATAACAGTGAGTAGAGGCGCTGGTGTACACCCATGTAAGTTGACCCACCCTTCGTAATTAAAGTGAGATTAAGATCTGACCCAGCAGAGGTCACTGTCACAATGAAACAGTTCTCACCGCCGCTTGATTAGTCAAACCGGCGTCATGACCTTGTTAACTCAAGAAACTACACTCCAGCCTGCACCACGCACCTGTTCGAACACAGCTGTCTCGACACACCCAGTTTAGTGTTAATTAGTGACGACATCTGCCGGCTTGACTGCCAATATAAGGGGCCAACAGCTTCTTTCAAGACAGACTGGGAGAGACAACTCAGAGGAAGACGGAGTCACTCTCGTCACTAGTCGTGGTCGGGAGGGAGACTTCCTCCCCAGCTAGCAGAGTCTCCCACAGGAGACAAAGTCCAGCAGCACCTGCAGACATTCCCCACCCGCTGGGCCTCCCTTAGGTCACACTTGACTTACAGTATTGTCAGAGCGATCCATAGGATGAGTTACTTACGGTGGGAAGTGTATCCATTTCATGCTTGTGTCCAGGAGTCATTGTCTAGTAACGTAAATATAATGATCTATTAATGTGTCCGTGCCATTTACTTAACTAATAAATAGCTGTACCTTCAAAGTGGTGTTTAGAAGATTCCCCCTAAGAATATAGTATCGGTTAAATAACTTATCGGCCACGCTACAACTTTCCTCACTTTACAATCCTACAACTATAAATTCTTACTTTACTTGTACTCTATTTTACCCTCACTGCTCACTTATTACAAAGAGAATGTTATTTACTTTAAGATTTCTATATGATATAAAAAGAATCTGTGTATATTAAATTAATTTAAATAAATATAAAATCTAATATAAGATCTTCGTTCCTATGTCATTTATTCCTGCGAATTTGGCCAGGAAATACAGTAGAAGCTGTCGTTTCGTCGGGCCATATCTGTTGGCCACAAATATTAAACGGAACCAGTACAGTGAACCCTAACTTTACGCGGTTAATTGAACCCACGGCGGCCCACGTAAAGTGAACAACATAACATATGGGATTAATTGAAATAGAGACCGGGCCGACCCCCAAACTCCACTTTTTCCCGACACAATACGTACGTTTTACTAAAAATAACATCTTAACTTTATGATGGTATTCACACATACATAATATAGAAGGGAACAATCAATAAGAGAATAATAAACTGAAGGTTAGGTTAGAAAAAACAAGGTTGGGGTTAACACTTATGTTAGTAGAAGAGATGGGTTGGGGTAGGGGAATGGAGGCTGGTTCCGAGGCAGAGGGCAGGCTACTGGCCCTCAGGTGAGTCTTCATCGGTGTCATCCACACTTACTAGTGCCTCCCTGACAAATCCCTCAAAGTCATCATCACTGTCTCTGCCTCTGCCACTATCTCTGGCTTGGGATGGCTGTGGTGGGTTGCGGGAGAAGAACTCTGTTATGCTTTGCTGACGGCTGGTGTTTATGTTGTCGTGATAAACCTTGATGTAGGGCTCCATAGTCTGCAACAGCTGGGTAGTGAAGATTTCATACCTGTTAGCGTCGGAAAGGAGGAGCTTGACTTTCTCAATACACTCGATGGCACCCCTTACATTACTATGGATAAGCGGCGTTCTTCTTGGGATGACGCACCACCTGCCTCTTCACTGACGTCATCATCTACCATCTCGTCGGTAGTCACATCAGGATCCCTTATCACCTCCAGGATGTCGTCGTTGGTAGTCTCGGAGAAGCCTGCAGCTGTAACACACTGCGCAGCTTTTCTGGCAAGGTCCACTGCTACTGCAACAGTCTGAACCTCACCAGTCACAGATTTACTCTGCCTAACACCCGGAATGCCTTGCAACACGTCTCCATGCGTGACGAACAGTTGCTACAGACAGCTGATCCCATGCCTCCACCAAGAAGTTCACAGCTTTCTTGACGTTGAATGTTCTCCAGAATTGTTTCAAAAGTACTTCTTGCTCTGCCAACTGTTGATCCTCGTCTTCTTCGCTCTTGCTATCGGTGTTGGTGTCACTCAGGTTACGCAACTCTTCCTTGGTGTTGATGTAGTCGTTCAGGAGCTTGAATTTTTTAGCAGAGAATGCAGCTTTTACATTACAGATCAATTCTTGATCCATGGGCTGTATTATAGACGTAGTGTTAGGAGGAAGGAAGACCACTTTTACGTTGGGGTGACGATCTAACAGTAGGGGCGAGTGTCCTGGTGCATTGTCAAGCAGCAACAAAATCTTGAATGGCACATTCTGTTGCTCACAGAATTTCTTCACATAGGGAACGAAAGTTATCAAACCAGGAGAGGGACAGAGTAGAGAACATCCACGCCTTACGTGCGGTCAGCCAGTGGACATTTAGCTTGGTCATGTCCATGCTCTTGTAGGCGTGCGGCTTGCATGCTGTGTGGATCACCGATAACTTGAGCTTATAGGTACCGGAGGCATTGGTGGTAAACAGGACGGTGATGCGCTCCTGCAACTTCCGGCCCCGACACTTGCTGGCATTCTTCACAACGAAGGTCTTGGAAGGTAGCTTTTTCCAAAAAAGACCAGATTCGTCCATGTTAAACACCTGGTCGTCGGTGTACTGTCCTTCCTCCATAATCTCACGTAAAAACGGAGGAAATTCCCTAGCCGCAACACGGTCAGCACTAGCTTCTTCACCACCAATGTTGATATTGGTGATCTTGTTCCTCTTCTTAAACCTCTGTAACCACCCAGAGGAAGCATTAAAGGGTTTGGGCTCTGTAATTCCCATCTTTCGTGACACTGCAGCATACAGTTCACGTGCGTACTCCTTAACTGAGCGCATGTCCACCGCCATGTTCTGTCGCGCCTGACGCACCAAGTAGCTCACAAGTAATTTTTCCGTCTTGAGAAGCACCTGGTTGTGGAAATACTTGATCATAGAAGCACCTGTAGACTTTGTGATGTTCATGTGCTCCTTTATCTTGGCTGCATCCTTCTTAATTGTCCTGATAGTTGATTCGTTAACACCATGCTGGCATGCGAGATCAACCCGTCTTGTTCCTTTCTCCAACTCTTGTATGATCTTATATTTAATTTCGTAGCTTAAAGAACGTCGTGTCTTCTTTGGCTTAGGGCGGCTGGGTCCAGGTAATGCAAGGTTTCTTTGTGGTGGTGGTGGTGGTCCGGTGGAAGCCATTCTTATGGAACAATGGATACCGATATACACGGTGTAGCCGGGAGGGGTGTAACTGACGCAGGTAGGTCAAGGGGCTTGAACGCTCCCGCGGCGGGGCACGTCATAGTACATTAAACCAATCACAGCTAGCGGGGAGGGAGGTAAGGATGCTTTGCCCAATCACAGTCCGCTACGTCATGTGACGTCACCGATAACGCAACAAAGACATACACTGCGCAACCTACTTGCGCCGCTTACACAACATGGCGGATGGCGGGAGGTTTGGATCCAAAAATGGCGCGGCGCGAGAGGACCGCCAGCTGCTCTCAGCGTAAAGGGGTACACACACCGCGGAAAGTGAGCGTTCCGTGTTCGGCAGGGTACCGCGTAAACGTGGAAACGCATAAAGTGGGACCGCGTAAAGCGAGGGTTGACTGTATACTACAACCTGGCAAGACTAGGCCTTGGCCCAACCCTTGGAGGTATAAAGGGCCTGACCCTCGGAAATGTTTTCAGGTTTGAAATGGCCAAGAACAACTAGGTTTAGGTTCTTTCTGATAGCGCTGCTTGTATTAACCCCACGATACTTTTATTAGAGCTAGGTTAGTTTAGCAAGGATCAGGTGAGAAATGTATTTATTTTTATTTTATCTTGAAATTAGTTAAGAATTAGATTACGTTAGGTTAGGTCCCCATTGCTTATATTATGTCAACTTTTACTTTTACTTTTATCCTCTTCGCCACTGATCGGCTTGTTAGCCGCTTGGGCGATCGGTCACGTCTCTTTTCCTTTATATTCTTCACCAAAAGGTCGGCTCGCTAGCCGCCCGGGCGATCGGTCACGTCTCTGTCACGCACTGTTGGCAAATACTGGGCATGCACCGGCTCCTGAATGTACCTGAACCCGCTCCAGTGTTGGTCAAGTCTTCCCTTGAAAGAGCTCACACTCGGTGCCGTCACAACACTGTCTGGTAGATTGTTCCAAGAGTTTACAACCCTCACTCCGAAAAAGTTTGCCCTCACGGTTTTCCGGACTTGCGGCTTCTTCAATCTTGAGCTGTGACCCCTTGTGGGGCGAGCGTCCGCCAGCTCCAAGTAAGGACACTCAACTGAGTAGTGCCCCCTGAGATGCTTATAAACCTCAACTAGGTCCCCCCTTGCCCATCTGTAGTATAAGCTAGGCAAGTTCAGGCGCTCCAATCTCTCAGGGTAGCTGAGATGCCGAAGTGCAGGCACCAGTTTGGTGGCCCTCCTTTGAACATTTTCAACCAACTGACAGTCCCTAGCATATCTCGGGGACCAGATGGGGTGACAGTACTCCAGATGGGGAAGCACTTCACTCCTGAAGATCGTCACGAGGGACGGACCGTCTAGATATCTGAACGACCTTCTTATAAGACCCAATAATTTATTTGCCTGATTTACCTTCTTCTCACAATGGCCCGAGAACTTCAGCTCATTGTCAACATACACACCTAGGTCCTTCTCACACACAGTCTCAACTAGTACATTTTCTTCATCCCGTTGGGACATATGGTACGCCTCCTTACCGTTGATACGCCCCAGGTGCATCCTCTTACACTTCGTGACATTGAATCTCAGCAGCCATTCCTTCGACCATTCCTGGAGCCCACAGAGGTCCTTCTGCAGCTCTTCACAGTCCGCTTGGTTCTTAATTTCCCGAAATAACTTGGCGTCATCGGCAAACATTTGTATGGAGGAGTGTACAACGTCAGGCATATCATTTATGAAACAAACAAACAACAGCGGGCCCAATACACTACCCTGCGGTACCCCACTTGTTACAGGTACAGATGACGATTTCGTGCCAATAATCACCACACATTGCTTGCAGTCATGTAGAAAGTCTTCTATCCACGCTAGGACATTTCCCCGAATTCCGTACCCTTCCAGTTTGATTTTCAGCCTTTCGTGGGGTACACTGTCGAAAGCCTTGGCAAAATCTAGGTAAATATTGTCGATATTACCACCCCGTTCTAGAATATGGGTCCAAATATCCAATACCTTGAGCAATTGTGTCAAGCAAGAGCGCCCCGGCATAAAACCGTGTTGGCAATCTTTTACAAGGTTGTTTCGTAGTAGATGTTCCATCGCTGCATCTCTGATAATACTCTCAAGTACTTTACATATTATGCTGGTCAGGCTCACCGGTCTATAGTTGTTCGTGGAGTGCCTATCGCCCTTCTTGAAGATAGGACTCACATAAGCCACTTTCCATTCACTGGGGACCATTTGTTCATCCAGGCATTTACAAAACAGAATCTTCAGGGGCTCTGCAAGCTCGTTGCACAGCTCCCTTAGCACTCTAGGATGCACCATGTCAGGTCCAGGACTCTTATGGACCTTTAGCCTGGACAGTTTATTTCTAATACCCTCTTCTGTGAACACAATGTGGGTCAGTGCTGTGTCGAACCGTCTGTCAAAATAACTTGCATTATGTTGAGTTAGGTTACTTTAACAATAGTTCGGTCAAAAGAATGCTAAATATACTGTATATTTTTACATTGCATTTAGCTAAGAATTACGTTACATTAGGTTGGATTTAGTGTGGGTTAAAAATCAATATTGTTTATATTTTTCTCCAAAAATTTTCATTTAAGTTGTAGCAAATTTATCTTTATTTTAATTGAATTACCTGAAAATTAGACATCCCAGCTTAAATCACCTGATTAATAAACACCCTAATGCAACCTGGGGGATAGTTTAGGTAAGGTTAGGTTAGCTTGTTCAATCATCAGGTAAAATTGTAGCGTGCTGTATGTGGCTAGTTGTCAAATTTCAATATGTTTGTCTATTTTCTCTTTGAAAGGCTCACATACATATGTACATGTGAGAGATCTCACACTCAGGATGGAGGTAAGAAGTGAAACTAACAATAGCTTGTGGGGTATTTAATTTGTGTTCACACTCAGGATGGGCTGGAGAAAGGAAACTCGCGATGTGCTCTCTGTATACATGTTGTATTGGATGTACAATGCAGCTGGGAAATGGCAGCGTGGTTACAAGCGTGATGTAGAGAGAGCTGGTTGGTGAGGATGCTCAGAGGACAGCTTGTGGGTCGCCATGCTCGCCGGCGGGAGCGAGGGCCGCCAGGCAGCGGCGGAGGAGGTGTTGCTGGCTGTTTGGTGTAGGTAGGAAGAGAGTTGGTCACCACGAGGTCAGGTCTTAAATAGCGGCGGTAGGGGTGGCTTAGTAGTTGACCTCCGTGATGTAAGGCGGCGCTGGTTGACCTAGACCACGAGGCACACACTGTGGAATTCGCGGGGTCGGCTACTCAGCGACAAACAGCCAGGGTTGCCAACTCGGATTTTCAAATGTCGCTAGGCTGGTACCTAAAAGTAGCTAAATGTCGCTAAATCTTCCATGGAAAGTCGCTAGCTATTATTCTCCCCATCAGTAATTTGATGCAAATTATATTTTCATAATGCCGACTACAATGGACGGAGTATAAATAAAATGCATTATGTAAAAATAAAAATATTATATTTTTTAAAGTTTAATGTGCACACTTAGCCTACCTATTATTCAATAGTAATTGCATCCCAGTCCTCTTCGTAGTCGTCGGCAGTGTGAACAACTGTAGAGCTGGAAGCATGTGAAGTGCTTGGTTCAGGTTCTCTTGTAACTGTATGCCTCCACAGTCCCTATCTTTCTTAAAATATCACTAGGAAGTTCATAACTTGCACAACAGGTGTTCTGTCTTTTTAACCCATACTTTATTGTAAGAATTGCCTTTAATGTCGATAGTTTCATTTTGTTGCGCAATTTTGATTTCACAAAGTTCATATTACTAAATGTGCGCTCTACATCTGCGTTTGAATGCGGAAGAGATAAGGCAGCGAGTGCAATTTCAGCCAGATCATGGTAAGGGTTTTCACCTGTCGCATCTCTGTAATTTGTCACTTCTGACCACAATTTTAGGGTGTTAGATGTTTCTGTCCAGATTGTGTGATGCAGTTTTTTCCACTGGAAATCAATCTTGGTAAGGGTGCTGGAATCTTCTGTAAATAAGTGTGCCAAACCAAGTATATCTGATTTAATAGGCTTCAAGCATTCATCGGCACTCAGAAAATAAATAGACTGCAGCACACGAATGTTGTCAGGTAAGCGTTGACGAAGTTGTTTTATGAGTTCAACCCGTTCAAATGCATTGTCCCTATAACCCCGTTGCTATATATTATGGCTCGAAATTAGGAAAACCGAGTTTTCATGGACAGTCCAAAAGTATCCAGAAAGTCGCTAGATTTCTGTGGATATCTCTAGATTTGCGACAAGTCGCAAATCGCTCTAAAATGTCGCTAGAAAAAAACAAAAAGCTCTAGATCTAGCTACAAAGTCGCTAAGTTGGCAACTCTGCAAACAGCGTTTGCAGGGGAGAAATCCACTACAAGAGTATCCACTATAGTCTCGCCAATAGAAAGGGAACCTTTCCTCTTACATGTATAAAGAATTTTTTTTTATCCTTAAGATTTCACTATAATTTAAGTTCAGCAAAATCTTGTGTTTTCTTTTGAGGAGTTGTAATGTTTCACTTTAATCCCAGTTGAAAATGATTTTCCTACTCGGGTTCAGAGGCTTCGAATACGTGTCTGAACTAATCTAATGTCAGGGAAGAGCAAGGAATATAGAGAAAGGAACTATAACCCCCCGCACATCAGTGTAGATGCGATAACGGTAAAAAGTTAATGCCGTGGGAAAAAGTCAGATGGTGCTTTCAATACGCTTTATAATGCAATCGATTATGTTTGAATTTCAGAAAAAATATGAGTTATTAGTTAAATATTGCTCAGTGAAAGGGGCAATTAAAATACTGTAGAAGAACGATACCATCACGGCTGGTGCGAAACTCAAAAGGCTGTGTGGGAACTGGAAATCTCCCACCAAGCCTTTTCAGTTTGGTACTGGGGTATACGAAGCCAGGCACTTGGGCAGCGAGCACAATTTTGTAGTGCACAACATGCACACGCAAAGAATTTTTTCCTTTACAGCCATTAAAGACTGATATAATTTGCCTAACTATATAAAATCCAGTTAATTTTATATTTATAATTTCCTCCATTTATCCGTTTACTATCCGGTCATGTAGTCCGTCTGTTCCTTGATACAGTATCTTGGTATGCAGTTTTACACTATAAGTTTTCTCTAATTTATTTTCTAGTAAAACTGTTATGCAATGTATATGCACATAGATTAACAAAAGGTGTAAAATCAAGATGTTTATTAGTTTAATAATGTAAATATGAGAATCAGATTCTGCAAATTTCCGCCATTTAACGATATCTGCGGAAGACTCAGCACGGTAATATAACAAAAAGAGGTTCGAATCCGTCCTCCATGGTTCAAACAAAGACTCACTTATATAGTCTTTGGTTCAAACTACATATTATGAACTACCGAGAAGTCTTCGGGGCACACCGAGTCGACTTGTGTTAGTCCACGTCCACTAGCCAAGCTCAGCCGTTGTCATGGCGGGGACTGCGTTGCTAATACTATCCATGTTCTGTGTGCTCTTCGACTTTACTAGTGGGTGAGTACTTGTTGCAATTTCACTTCGGTAAAACAGCAGTTTCAATACCAATTTGTTTTTGACCAGAAATCTAGGTGTTTCCAATGGTATTTGGCGTGATTCATTTGAATTTGACCTTCATTTCCGTCGGAATGGAGTCGTTTTTTAGTTCTCACCCGGCTCCCGCTTCCCCTCCAACAATCTTGGGAGTGAAACTGAAGCAATAATACCACCTAACCAACCAAAGAAACCTATCTAACCTTACCAAACTTCCTAACAGGGGGGGGCATATTAAACAAAGGGTAAATTAGCATTATCAGCCCCAACTACTGTTGGATCATAAATATTTGTTTTCGTGTTAAATGGTCTATTCATACAAATTTGACATTCATTTCCGTCGGAAACGAGTATTTTTTAGTACCCCCCCATAGACCCTAACCTAACCCACCAAAAAACCTACATAACTTTCTAGCCGTCCTCGCCATATTAAACAGAAGTACCTTTGATATCTGGTACCAATGAAAGCAACTTTGTTGATTCATTATGGTGTAATTTTGTGTGTGTACACAGAGCGTACTGTACTCAGGCCAGGCTGGTCAGCTGTAAACAAACACACGACACGCGATGACGTCAGATTTACATTAATTTCTTGCATGAATTTGCGATCTTGGTTAATATCCATTTGCGACGGAAGTGTTATTAGAAAAAGTTGTTCCTGTTGAAGAGCTATAACTAATGAATACAAAATTGTACTAACATACCCTGTAGTTGGGGGGCTTAATTTTGATTATTATTTTTTATTATAAATTTTATTGAATATGAATTATTATTATTAAATTTTTGCCCCCCAGGCCCTGATGTGGGTTAGTGACCTGTTCCTGGGTGGGCCAATACCTGTAAAAAAAATCTAAATTTGTTGAAAATTACAGTTTCACTACCAATTGGTTTTGACCAGAAATTTTGGTATTTTCCCTATGGTATTTGGTGAGCTTCATTCGAATTTTACCTCCATTTCCGTTGGAAATGGGTCGGTTTTAAGTTCTCACACCCCCCCCCGGTTTTAAGTTCTCACACCCTTCCAGTCATCTTTTACTTTTTACTTTTTCCTTTTCGCCACTGATCGGCTCGTTAGCCGCTTGGGCGATCGGTCACATCTCTGATTACTTTTCATTTTCAATTATCCTCTTCACCAAAAGATCGGCTTGCTAGCTGCCCGGGCGATCGGTCACGTCTCTGCCATGCACTGTTGGCAAATATTGGGCATGCACCGGCTCCTAATGTACCAGAACCCGCTCCATTGTTGGTCAAGTCTTGTCTTGAAAGAGCTCGCACTCGGTGCCTTCACAACACTGGTAGATTGTTCCAAGAGTTTACAACCCTCACTCCGAAAAAGTTTGCCCTCAGTTTTTTGGACTTGCGGCTTCTTCAATCTTGAGCTGTGACCCCTTGTGGGATGAGCGTCCGCCAGCTCCAAGTAAGGACACTCGACTGAGCAGTGCCCCCTGAGATGCTTATACACCTCAACTCGGTCACCCCTTGCCCGTCTGTAATATAAGCGAGGTAAGTTCAGGTGTTCCAATCTCTCAGGGTAGCTGAGGTACCGAAGTGCCGGCACCAGTCTGGTGGCCTTCCTTTGAACATTTTCAACCAACTAACAGTCTCTAGCATATCTCGGGGACCAGACGGGGTGACAGTACTCCAGATGGGGAAGCACTTCACTCTTGAAGATCGTTACGAGGGACGGACCGTCTAGATATCTGAACGACCTTCTTATAAGACCCAATAATTTACTTGCTTGGTTTACCTTCTTCTCGCAATGGCCCGAGAACTTTAGCTCATTGTCAACATACACACTTAGGTCCTTCTCACATTGTCTCAACTAGTGCAGTTTCTTCGTCCCGTTGGGACATAAGATACGCCTCCTTACCGTTGGTACGCCCCAGGTGCATCCTCTTACATTTCGTGACATTGAATCTTGGCAGCCATTTCTTCGACCATTCCTGGAGCCCACAGAAGTCCTTCTGCAGCTCTTCACAGTCAGCTTGGTTCTTTATTTCCCGAAATAACTTAGTGTCATCGGCAAACATTTGTATTTAGGAGTGTATGGAGTGAAACGGCAATAATACCTTCACTTCTACAGATGGAGTACTGCTGTACATGAATGTAAATGTAAACAAGAGTTCCCTTATGGGAAAATTTTCACTTGTTGCCATATTACAAAATCGAAGTTGAAAGTGATTTTCAGATAGTTTCGGATGTGTCCGATGTGTGTAGTGAACAAACTTGACCTTCCTTTTTGGCGCAAATCAATAGTTTCTGGGATAAGCCCCCACCGTCTCAAAATCTAGAGATTTGCTATAAAATTAAGATGAAAAGTGTTCATAACACCAAAAACCATTGGAAAAACCTACCGGGGGCCTTTCACAGTCGTTCGATATTATGTGTGTACCGCTACGTCGTTCGATGTTCTGTTTGTTTTTTGCTGTTACGGGGAATAACCCTGTAGTGGATTCCTCCCCTACAAGTGCCGTTTGTCGCCGAGTAGCCGAACCTTCTCGAATTCCCCAGCCTACGCCTCCAGTGCTGCCTGACGGAGTGGGGGTCAACTATCAACCCACGCCTACCCACGCCTTATAAGACCTGACACCGCTGTGACCAGCCTCTTTCTACTTACTGCCACCAGCAAGCAACACCACCTCCTCCGCGCCAGCCTGACGGCTCCTGCTCCCGCCGGCGACCTTGGCGTCCCCCAAGCCGTGTGTCCTCCTCTGAGCACCCTCACCAACCAGCTCTCTCTACTCAACGCTTGTTACCATGCTGCCTACCCAGCACCAAGCTGCATTGTACATCCAATACATTATGTATACAGAGAGCACATAGTGAGTTTCTTCTCCATCCCATCCTGGTGTGAACCCATCTCACTCCCCACAAATGGTGACCCCGGAGATTCGCACTCACACAGGATGGAGGAAAACGATCACTCTCCAGCCTTCAAGCAACACGGAAGACTGGCTTATCCACTCAGGGGCAGCTCTCATCGGCTCTACAACCTGTCTCTCAGCAGGTTAGACACCTAGAGCAGCTCTGCTACTCTAAGCAGACAGCCGCTCTCTTCCTGCCCCAAGCATCACGTCCACCGACCCCAAAACACCCGTCCTGCCTCCAGACGCCGTCCCCGGCCCAGCAGTACCCCCTGCCGCTCCTACTGACGCAGAACCCACACCCTCTTTCTCCCCCAGGTACCCCCTGCTACTGTCCTGCACCCTACTGCTGTCGTGCACCCTGCTGCTGTCATGCACCCTGCTGCTGTCATGGACCCTCTTCCTGACTCACAGCCCCTGCTCCTGACTCATACCCACACACCACAGCAGGCGCATCTGAGGACTCTGTACCTGCCGCGAGGGAAGCACAACATTCATCGCCTCCACAACCCTCCTTCCTCTTTTCTCCCACAGATCTCGTGCATCTAGACAGTTGGCCCCCCCCTAGCAGCCGTACCATCCACGCCCTCGCCGTTATGTCTCGCATGTGGCATGCACCGCCCGTTCTGCCTCTCAGGTGGCACGCAACCCTGCCAGCCTCCCGCTGCGCCGGAGAAGGGTATTGTAGTGGATTCCTCCCCTACAAGTGCCATTTGTCGCGGAGTAGCTGAACCTTCTCGAATTCCCCAGCCTACGCTTCCAGCGCTGCCTACGGAGGTGGGCTGAACTATCAACCCACGCCTACCCCTCGCCTTATAAGACCTGACACCGCTGTGACCAGCCTCTTTCTATCTACTGCCACCGGCAGCCCGCCGCCCACCTCCTCCGCGCCAACCTGGCGGCTCCCGCTCCTGCCGGTGACCTTGGCGTCCCTCAGCTGCGAGTCATCCTCTGGGCACCTCCACCAACCAGCTCTTACTCAACACTTGTTACCATGCTGCCTACCCAGCAACAAGCTGCATTGTATCCATGCCAATATGTATAACAAACGCAATTGCGAGTTTCCTTTCTCCATCCCATCCTGAGTGTGAACCAATATCTCATAAACCCACAACCCAACCGGGCACAGGTCATCGACCCACAACAGTTTCAGGGGCGAAATACTAAAAAGAAATATATATATATATATACTATATATATACAGTACTATATATATACTATATATATGTATATATATATATATATATATATATATATATATATATATATAATTGTATATATATATATATATAGTATATATATATATATATATAATTATATATATATATATATATATATATTAAAATATATATATATATATATATATATATATAATAATATGTAATTAATATATATATATATATATATATATATATTAATATATATATATATATATATGTGTGTGTATATGTATGTATGTGTATGTTATATATATATATATATATGTGTATATGTATATATTATATATATATATATATTATATATTATATATTATATATATGTGTGTGTGTGTGTAAAAATGTTAATGTGTATATGTGTGTGTGTATCAATATATATATATATATATATATAATAATAATATATTATATATATATATATGTTTGTGCATCAATTAAGTGAAAGTCGTTATAACAACAACAACATATATTAAATCATGATAAATGTGAAAATATATTAGAGTGAAGTGCAAATGTGTGTGTGTGTGTGTATATATATATATATATATATATATATATATATATATGTATGTATATATATATATATATATATATATATATATATATATATATATATATATATATATATATATATATATATATATATATATATATATATATATAATAACAATATATATATGTATATATATATATGTATATATTTATATGTATATATATGTATATATACATATGTGTATATATATGTGTATATATGTATATGTATATATATGTATGTGTGTATGTGTGTGTGTATGTGTGTGTGTTCATATATATATATATATGTATATATATATATGTGTGTATATAATATATAATATGTATATGTGTATTGATAATATTGTCACGCTCTGTGTATGTGTGTGTGTGTATGTGTGTGTGTATGTGTGTGTGTGTGTGTGTATATATATGTGTGTGTGTGTGTGTGTGTAAATAATATGTTGTGTGTATGTGTATAATATGTGTGTGTACATGTGTGTATATGTATATGTGTGTGTGTGTGTGTGTGTGTGTGTGTATGTGTGTGTATGTATGTATGTGTGTGTGTATGTATGTGTGTATGTGTATATATGTATGTATGTATATGTGTGTAGCATATGTATATATATATGTGTATATATATGTGTATATATATATGTGTATGTATATGTATATATATATATGTGTGTATGTGTATATATATATATATATATATATATATATGTATATATGTGTATATATATGTGTATATATGTGTGTATATGTGTGTGTGTATATGTATATATGTGTATATATGTATGTATATATATATATATATATATTTATATATGTATATATGTATATATATGTATGTATATATATATATATATATATATATATATTTATGTATGTATATATATATATATATGTATATGTATATATATATATAATGTGTATATATGTAATATGTGTGTATATATATGTATGTGTGTGTGTGTGTGTGTGTGTGTGTGTGTATATATATGTGTGTGTGTGTGTGTGTGTGTGTATATTGTCATGTGTGTGTGTGTGTGTGTGTGTGTGTGTGTTGTGTGTATATCAGTGTGTGTGTGTGTGTGTGTGTGTGTGTGTGTGTGTGTGTGTGTGTGTGTGTGTGGTGTGTGTGTGTGTGTGTGTGTGTAATATGTGTAATATGTGTCAATAACCAACAACATAACAATA